AATGTTTGGACCTTTCCTTATAGTTGAATTAGTCATTCTGCAAACAAACAAAAAACAAACAAACTGCAACAAAAGTGAGTAAACCCTTCAGAACCCTTCAGCAGTGAGATTCAATAATTTAATTTTTCTACATTTTGTATGTCTGCCTTTATTTCTGATGACAGATTCAATGCTCCTGGGCATGGAGTCTTACGCATATCTGTTGTTGTTCCGCCGTTCGTCACGGATGATTCTTTTCAGCTGCTGTTTGCTGGAGGGGATTTGTTGCTTGATCTTTTGCTTTAGAATACACTGGATTCAAGTCAGGAGACATACTTAGTCATAGTTTTCACTTTTTTCTTCTTTAAAAACTCTGTGTTTGCGATCACTGTCATGTTGGAAAAATTCCTCTCTTGTCAAGCTTCTGGAGAGTGGGAGTCATCTTTTCATTCAGTATTTGGGAATACAAATTTGCATTCATAATGCCATCTATAAATGTCATCTGCCCTACACCTTTTGCACTTATGCAGCTCCATATCAGCACACTCCCACCTCCATGATTCATGGTCGGTGCTATGCAGTCACTGTGGTAGTCCTGGCTGGGTCCACACAAAAACATGCTGAACCGCAGTTGATCCAAACAAATTTATTTTGGTTTCATCTGACAGAAGAATGTGTTGCTGCCATCATTCATCGGGCGTCTTTTCACGTTCTTTGGCAAAGTTTATTCATGCTTTTGTGCAGTTTTGTGAGAAACGGTTGCCACGGACGTCACCGGTGGAGGCTGACTCCAAAAAAATGTCTTTTGCACCGTCTGATCAGTCACTGAAACACCAACTTACACACATAATCCTTGTGCCAAGTCAGAAGCAAACATGTCTTTTTCAAAGCAAGGCTGCATAAATAGCAGATTACATAGTCATTTTTCAAGGACAGCGACTGCACCTTCTGTTATTAAGGTTCTTCCTGTTCTCCTCTTCCTCACCACTGCTGCTGCTGTTTCAGCTTACATTCAGTAGCAAACTTAGGCTCTTGTACCCTCTCCCATCTTTATGAAGTCTCACAATCTGGTTTCTCCTCACCATGTGGAGCCATGTTGCATTAAGCCCCTTTTCCACTGGTCAAAAAACCCGCTAAGACCTACTAACATTGGGGCTTTTGTGGCAATTGAAAAGGGTACAATTGGCATGAATGACTCTGCAGTAGATGTGGGTATTTAATGGCTCCAGCTCCAGTCGGCATTGATGTAAACACAACACCCGGGTGAACCGGCTGATTTTCACCCCTTTTCCTGCTGTTACATCTTCCACAGCACAGACACTGTAGACACACCTGTCACCTGCCCAGCACGGTGCTGTTCAACCACAAACACTGCGGCTACACTGCGCTCCAGGATGACAGAGTGAGCTGCAGCCCTGAAATAAGTTTTAAAAAACACACAATCACTGTTCGAATCGTCTCACACGGAGGCTCCAGAGTTGAGACGTGACAGTTTACCAGTTTGCACGGCGGCTAGCGGCTCAGTCCTTCTCCCCTGCGTCTGCGTGTGTGCTCTGTAAGTGCATGTGATGACATCACTCCTTGCAGTGGAAAACCAGCTTTGATTAGCAGGTTTACCCACGTTTATACCCGCTCATTTTGGTGTAAAAAGGGTATTAAACACAACCCAGGCCAAAACTGAGGAAGCTGTGGTGTTCACAGGTTATTTTATCACCTCGTTCATGCAATTGGCCGTAATTGTAAATTAGGTATAATCACTTTAAGTGCATTGATGTTGTACTTTGGGGCCTGTATTTTCAATGTAGTCTATCTAACCTCTCTGTTTTTAATAATACATAAGATCCAATACTGTACACTGTCAAATCACACAATCTTCAATCATTTTTGTGATATTGCAGGGGTGTACTCACTTTTGTCGTGTAGTCCACCTCCTCAGTGGGCGGACATCTTTTTCATGATATTGTTGTTGCCAGAGCACCTGATATAATATTTGGATGTGTACATAATACTTTGTGGCTTTGAGAAATATAAAAACAATTCAGTTAAATTACATTTCACGCTATATTTATGTGCACATTAGATGTTTCTCTCTCAAATGTGAAGTCGGATGCTCAGTTTTCACACATTCTCGATGAAGTGCATAATGCAGCCTATTGTTTGGTCTCCGCTCCGATAGCTGTTTGCCTCAGACCTGCCTGTAGAGATAATAGATGCCTAGTTAGATTTTTGTAAACGTGTTGCACAATTTGAATAGTTGCTGCCAACAAACATCATAATGTTGCAAGCTGTGTTGGGTGATGCAGCAACATTCAAGTTTTATGTCCCGGTGAGAGACTCAAAAAATGGAAAACCTAATCTGTGCTCTTAATATTCCCTCTCTACTCCCATAAATTGGTGTTTGCCATTTAAAAGATCCATTAACATTTTAATTTGAAACTCTCTTTGCCTCGTCATTTTTCGAACAGAAATGAGACAGCACTTGACTACAGAGTCCATTAGGCGTAAATTGATTGTCTCAAATGAATTTACACATCATTCATTCAAATTATTAAATCATCCATTCTGTACAAAAATTTGTTTTGCTCACTTCATTCAGTGACTTGTATCGTTAATTTGTTTAATGCATTCTGTCAAATTAGTAATAGTAAGTTATCACCTTCATTTCATTTGCCTTCATGCTATGGAGCTGTTGTATTTACAGTAATACAGTTTTATTGTGATACTCAAATACATGCACAGTATGTATTGTACTTTGGGATTTGGCTGTTATGATTAACATCCTTTAGGCACTGTTATGTAATGAGATGACAGATTGTTTTTCCATATTATCTTTGATGATACAGGATGACAACAGGTCGGTGAGCCAATCAGAAGAGAGGAGGCTCTGAGGCTCTCTTCTGATTGGCTGACTGTTTTCTGAGTGATTGAATAAAAACATAGCAGATATCACGTTAACACTCAGAGAAACCAAATCCCGCAAGGTTGGAGGGTGGGTCCAGGTGGGCGGGGCTTGGGGCATGGATGAGGATGGTGACTGCTTTGTTGTGACATCACAAAGTTACAGAAGTCCTGACAGCTGGTTTTAAGGCTCAGTTTCTGAATACAGGCTGTGTGCGTTTCTCTGTGGACTGAGGCTTTGATAGTTTTTAGAACATAGACCTGATCTATAATCAAAGAAGGCACAGACATCTCACTTTATACAATATGGGACCTTTAAGGGTGCAAATGATTAATTATAGGGAATAAGTTAAACCAGCACTGATCAATATTTTTATATTAACAAATGTGTCAAATATGTGATGTGAAAGGTGTCAAACCCTCAAATAATCAACACGCAACTCTGCAGTTCCCCTCAGTTCTACTGAGATTTTTTAGCTTCTTTCATCTCATTGTTTTGGTTTTTTACCTGCTACGACAGAGAGAGTTAGCGACTTGCTCTGTATCTGCTGGATGTGTAAATAAACAACTGCTTCATTCACCACATCAACTTTATTAAGTGATGATATGTTGTGTTTACAGCTTTTTGCACTGCCCCCAAGTGGCCAAAAAAATCAATCAATTCAAGTTTGAGTTAAAATATTAATAACTGATACATAGAGCTGAAGAAAACTGCAGATTCAGGTCATAACTCTACACTACAAGCAAAACCTTGCACATTACATGTAGTTGTTTAATCCACTTAATATGAAAATATTGATTTTAGCAGCTTTAAATAATGTAAGGGATCAAATCTCAATTCAGGAAATTTTCTGTAAATTTATTACAAAACAATGCTTATATTAAATGATGATTAGGGTGAATGTCTCTCTTGGGGCTCTGAATATTATCCTCCTCTGTGCACACACATACTTCACAAAGATGAGAACATTTATTTTGTGCTTTTTTTTTTCTTTTTTTTTTAAATATCAGCCACTGAGGCTTCACACATTTGCCTGTTTCTGCTGTGATCAGACATTTAGATCATAAAATTATTTTTTAATGCTACAACTCCAGTCATTAGAAGGTCATTTGTGCCAGGATGATGCAGATGGCCGAAGCTGAGGGGGATAACCATGGAAACCTGCAGCACTGAGACTTTGGGGATTATTTTTGGAAATTGTCTCAAATATCTGAATTTAGTTGATGTGTTCTTGAATCAAATGAATCAGATTTCCTCTGGAAACAGATTAAACTAAGAGGAAAACGTCTCTCTTCCGATTTTTCTGCCCCTGTTTGACTGTGACATGTGTTTGTGAATGTAATCATCTTTCAATGAACGAGGCTGCTGGGAGTTTCAGTCTTCCTCCAGACTCAGACCATGTGTTTGCTCCAGGGAGACTGAGGGTTTACTCAGCACTTATTCTCTCTTTCTCAAACACTCTTTCATCTTCTTTTCTATCTTCCTCTCTGTCTTGGTCTTTGTTTTTCCTACGCTCTTTTGCCAAATACCGTGACTCTCTTTTTCTTTGTGTTTCTATTTCAATTTCCTTTGTTTCATTTTCACAATGTTATATCGCCGAAAAATATGTGGACGCCCCATTCTTCTGGTTATAATGCTACAGAATACAATTATGTTTTAAAAGACAGCGTCCTTCCAACTTTGTGTCAACAGTCTGAGTAAGGCCCTTCAACATGACGATGCCAACATGCACAAGGCCAAGGTCTGGTTTCACAAAGATATTTTAAAATTTAGACTAGTCTGTTCATGGATGGATTATCAAACGGGCTTTCTGGGCTCAGAAGCAGAAACTTAACTTAACCAGAAATCATGGTGAATTAGTCCATGTAGTGAGACAAGAGCTAGACAGCTTTGAGCAGTGGATGAATGGAGATGTCTGTCTGAAGTCTGACTGTTCATTAGATCTAAGTCATAGTCAGTCTATCTTTGTGAAACTGGTCCGTTAAGAAATGGTTTTCCCAGTTGGTGTGGTAGCACTTGACTGGCCTGAGGAAATATGCAAATCCGAGCTAAATAATTGGCAAATTAATTGGTATTAAAGAGAATCATTGGTTGTTCATGTGAGTCTCTCGTGTCTTTCCAGGTTGAAGAGGAGGAAGAAATTGGGTATGCTGAAGGAGCTGCAGACAGTGAGTTGATGAAATAATGATTTTTATCGATTGTCTGTACAAACAGTCAAAAGACGAGAAAATCAAACACTCTCCATCTTTCTTCTGTAACACACACACACTACACCTTATCTCATCACCAAAGCTTTTACATATAAGCAGTCACACATTTATCCTTTCTTATGCCTTCTTTCATAAACTAGCAGCCCACTCCATACAGCATTTCATCTCTCACACACACACACACACACACACAGTTTCATCTGAGTAAATGCCACGTGTCATGTAACTGTTATTCACCAGATGCCTGAATGAGCCTCTCCCTGCTGCCTGCCTATGTGCCTATGTGCATGTGTGCGTGTGTGCGTGGTTTTATCAGCATGTCTGTGCATCAACATTATTGATTGTGTAATGGAGGGGGAGGAGGACTCGTCTGTAGCTTCATTGTCATCAGTTGGACCTGATGTTTATCTCGTCAGCTAACAGCAGAGGACAGAGAGGAGGAGGAGGAGGAGGAGGAGGAGGAGGAGGAGGACACCTGTCTGATTAAAGGAGACCAAACCCTGTGTTTAGTCGACATGTAGGCCAGCAGATTTGGATAAAACATGAAATACAGAGAAGAACGGCACGCTCTCCTCCTCACAGGTCCGAGTTCAACTCTGATGTCAGGTGTGGTCACCGGTGACCTTTGATTGGCCTCCACTGGTCCACATGTTGTGTAATTACTGTTTAGAGCTGCGACCAACGATTATTCTCATTATCGATTATGTTTTTGATTAATCAATCAAGCATTAGTCGATTAAATGCCAAAAGATGCTGAAAAATGGCCATTACAACCTGTCAGAGAACAAGGTGATGTCCTCAAATGTCTTACTGTGTCACACAGATTTTCATTTGACAATAAGGTAAAACAGAGAAAAGCAACAATTTTTACTTAAACAACTGATTAGCAAAACAGGTGCCCCTTTTCTTCTGTCAATCGAATAAGATATTAATTATCTAATTGTTTCTGTAGAAATAATTAAGCACATTACTTTTCTTACACTGAAGATCAGCACAGACACAAGTGGCTCAAGCCTTCACCCCTTGACCATATTTGGGTAATTTTCCCCCTCTGGACTAAATGAATAAATGAATACACATTATTAATGTATTAGTGGTATAATTATTGCTAACACTGCTGTTATCATTATTATGTTAAGGTAACCCTTGGCATTAAATGCCATAGTGTAATAATAATAATAATAATAATAATTTATATTATACACGTTATCTTTAAAGTGAATACACTGTCTTCATAAAGCTAATTTAATCAAATAATCAATGAAGACAAATGTATTTGCTAAAATGATGTAGTATACTGTGAGTATAAAAAAAAAGATGCCACATGTCTGTGTACATCTATGGAGATTAGTACATCGTTCATATCGTTCAGACTGTATTTATTCTGTGATACAGTCTCTGTTTCTCCTAAAGAAATTGCTGCCACAGCTGGAAAAACACTTCCTGTGAGTTTTCCTGGAAATATCTATCTGAGCGAGTGTATACAGCAGGAAATTTAATCTAAATGTAAATTAGAAGGAGAAACTGACAGTTATTGGCTTAACCTTTTGTGCTAAGCAATGCAAGTTAAAACTGCAAGTTCGCCTGCAGGATAACACACATTTAAATGCTGATGTTTAGATTTTAGCATATACATCTGCCAATAAATAACTAGATATTATACTACAGAGATGCTTAATATGTGTGTGAGTTAACAAAAGGAGAAGTAGTAAATACAGGAGGTATTAGTCCATAATGGAGCTGCAGATAACGATCAGTTTGATTATAGATTAATCGACTGTTTCTCTATAAAATGTCAGAAAATAATGTGGTGCGGTGAGAGTGGTGCCCAGTATAGTTTCCCAAGATGTACTCAGATTACTTCTTTTAGTCAATGAAGAGTCCAAAAGATATTACATTTATTCATATTCAAAAATATTCAGTTTAAAAATCATATATGACGAAGAAAAGCAAAACACGTTTGATTATAGTTCAGTACAGATTATTACAGAAGCTTTATTGGATGTTATTTTTATTATGTCAACTAATGTTGATATTTGAGACTAATTTAATTTTCATTGAAACTGCAACTGAAAAGCTTCCATCATTAAACAGTAGATATGTTCATCATAATCATCATCATATGTTGTTCACTAATCTTTTATAATAATTTGTTTTATATCCTTCATGAATTGAAATTGCTCACATCAGTCCTGCTCCCTGTAGCTGCAGAGGCACATTAACCAGTGTTGCAGTCTTAATTCATTAGATTGAATGTGACTACTGTATGTTTATGTGTTAATTGTTATCAGTGAATGTACACTGCTCAAGAAAATTAAGGTGAACACTTAATCATCACAGTATGACACCAAGTCAGTTAAACGTCATGGATATCAATCTGTCCATTTAGGAAGCAACAAGTGATTGTGAATCAGTTTCACCTGCTCTGATGCAAATGAAAGTGACAACAGGTGCAATGGAGAGGCAAAAGAAAGACAAACCCCGGAAAGCGAATGGTTTTACATGTGGTGGCCACAGACAGTTGCTCTCTCCTGATCCTTCCTGACTGAGTCTTCTCTAGTTTTGTGTTTTGCTCGTGTCCTTGTCAGTACTGGTAGCATGAGGCGGTACCTGCAGCCCCGATCAGGTCGCACAGGTAGTCCAGCTCCTCCGGGATGGCACATCCATACGTGCGGTCGCAGGAAGGTTTGCTGTGTCTCCCAGCACAGTCTAAAGAGCATGGAGGAGACCACCAGGAGACGCCCGTTACACGAGGAGAGCTGGACAGAGCCGTAGAAGGGCATCAACCCAGCAGCAGGACCGCTACCTGCTCCTTTGTGTGAGGAGGAACAGGAGGACACTGCCAGAGCTCTACAACATGACCTCCAGCAGGCTCCTGGTGTACATGTTTCTGACCAAACTGTAAGAAACAGACTCCATGAGGGAGGCATGAGGGCCCCACGTCCTCTAGTGGGACCTGTGCTCACAGACCAGCACCGTGCAGCTTGATTGGCATTCGCCAGAGAACACCAGAATTGGCAGGTCCGCCATTGGCGTCCTGTTCTCTTCACACTGAGCACATGTGACAGGCTTGAAAGAGTCTGGAGACGCCGTGGTGAACGTTACGCTGCCTGTCACATCATCCAGCATGACCGGTTGGCGGTGGGTCATGGTCTGGGGAGGCATATCCTTGGTGGGTCTCACAGACCTCTATGTCACAGCCAGCGGTGCAGACCTTACGCTGGTGCAGGGGGCCCTGGGTTCCTCCTGGAGCAGGACAACGCCCGGCCTCATGTGGCCAGAGTGTGTAGGCAGCTCCTGGATGACGAAGGCGTTGATGCCATTGACTGGCCCTCACCTTCCCCTGTCCTAAATCCAGTTGAGCACCTATGGGACGTTATGTATCGGTGCATCCGAATAATAAGTGAAAAGTGTGTGTGTGTGTGTGTGTGTGTGTGTGTGTGTGTGTATATGTGTATTCATGTACATGATGCTCCGTGTGTGCTGATCGGCTCTGCATGTTAAACTCTGATTTTCTCTCCTCTGACAGGTTATAGTACAGAACAGAGGAAACCAAAGGTCATCTTCCTGATGGGTACGTACATGTGGTCGAGCTCAGACACACACACACACACACACACACACACACACACACACACACACACACACACACACACACACACACACACACACACACACACAGAATGATAATGAGCAGCTACTGATTGCTCGGCTGGCTGTTAGATAAACTATTCTCATTCATGTACACACTGGAGGACACACACATACACACACACACACAGACAGAGGGGAAGTTAATGAAGTCATTTTAAAAAGTTTCCTTGCTCCTGTAGAGTCATCAAAATAAATGCTCTCACTGTATTAGGTGTAAAGCTGGCTACATCTCATTACTGCTGTTAGATGACAATCTCTGAAATTAATTTTTATGCAGATTTTAAAGGTGAAATTTTAACAGATATTTTTCATAAGCACTTTTATTATTCATCATGTTCTACCCACCGCTGATGGTTTTGAGGTGATTGCCGCATTACCTTTGTCAGCGTTGATGGTTTTAACCCCAAATGTCAGGATCAAAATCTGGTCTGTTTGAATAAATTCAGAGTCAGTGTTCAGGTGTTAGTTTTTCATCTAATGTTGGTTTGCTGTAGTCATGCTCCTGATTTGCATATAATAACACTCCTTTGTTCGTTTTTCCTGTTCTGAGAAAATGCTTTAAATCTGTTGTCTAAAGTAAAATCACTGAGCTGAAACACGGCCGTTTCTCAGAGTTCCCCAAAAGGATTTTCGTGTGCTGAAACTATGCTGAGTCAGTTAATTAATAGAACGTTATCACTGGCAGAACTTTAGTCAATCAATAGAAAATCAGTGATTAGGAGAACAATTCTGTCATTTATTAAGCAAATATGGGATGTGTTTGCTCGCTCCAGCTTTTCTCGCTCGCTCTATATCACTGTTAACTGAATATCTTTGAGTTTTCGACTCTTGATCAGATGATGAGTCAATCAACTGTTAAACCGATTGACAGAAAAATAATCTGCAACATATCAATTAAGCGTTTCAGTTATGTTTTCAAACAAAAAAGGCAAACATTGGGTTCCTGAAATGAAATGTGCGGATGTACTGTCTTTCTTTGTCATATATCATTAGAAATTGAATATGTTTGGATTTTAAAGACGACGCTCTGGGCCCACAAGAATCATGATGGCCATTATTTGACATTACAACAGTATTTAGAGTCTGAATAATTAAACAATAAATGACTGACAGATCAGTCGTTAATGGAAATATTTCTACATGCAGCTTTAAAATTTCTGGAGACATGAGAAGTTTTATACCAACAACACCAATATTTCGAGAGCGTCCTTAGATATTTAATGTGAAATTTCGATCTGCAGCCTGAGTATCACTGCCGCAAGTAATTCAAAATTCATCATTTTTCTCTGTGTGAAAGTAAAAGTCAAACAAATCTGAAAACACACAAACACAGGTGCCTAAAAACTGTGCTCAGGTGCGGCAGATAAGTAAATGTACTCATTTATTTCACACCTCTGGAGGCGGAGAGTGGTGCATTTTTGTCATCAATTATTATGCTGCGGTGGCACAGTGAGGCAGTGCAGCTCAGTCTGCTAATTGACAGGACAGAGAGATGAAGGTTAATGAGAGAGCTGGGACACACAGAGTCTCCATTAACCACCATTCACTTTTCTACCATGGAAAAACACTAAAGGTACAGTCATTAAAAGATTATTTCATCAGTATTGTGTGTGTGTGTGTGTGTGCGTGGTGCATGCGTGTGTGTGTGTGTGTGTGTGTGTGTGTGTGTGTGTGTGTGTGTGTGTGTGTGTGTGTGTGTGTGTGTGTGTGTGTGTTCCCTTTCACACCCATACAGATTATAGACCAGTTATGTGTATTAGTGTTGAAATCCCCGTCTTTGGAAACTAACATGACAAATCCCCACTGATCTGTTTTAACACCAGTTTGTCTGATTATGTGAGAAACAGACGTGGAGAGAGACCAAGAGCTTTTTCTCAGCAGGAGCGGATAATTGGAGGAAAATGCCAGCTGCATATATAACAACTGTCACCTAGACTCCGATCTGTCTCCTTAGCAGATTTTATTGCATATAATGAAAAGCTGGCCCGTTCAGCAACAACATATTCATGATTTTATTCTGTTTACACCAAATTGTGATCATACCGTCTGTGTGTTGCAACTGACTCTGGGATTTATTGGAGCCAGAACTTGTTTAAGACTTTGGATTTCATGTCTCATCTTAGGCCTGAGTAAAGCATCAGGCTACCTGTGTCAGCTTTTGACTGTCACTGTTGTACTGAGCTGTTATACAGTATGTAGAAGCAGATGTTGAAGCTGAAACTATCACCTTCCTCCTCAGATCTCTCTCAAACCTGTCACCTCCCCCTGTTCTGCCTGCAGATTGCCACCAGCACTATGTGGAACAATTCATAGACTGATAGCACTATGAAAAGTTACATGAAAATGAACATGCACAGAGTTTTTTTTACATTCTGTATTCCTATTTCAGTATTTTCTTTATATGATATCCTGAACATAAAAACCTGGGATTCAGTCGGTCTCCCATCACATTTAAGAATTTAATAGTGAAGTGATTAAGTGAGTTTCTCAACACTGTGATCTGTAGCTTACTTTCTGTAACAGATTTCTAAGCTCTTTGATCTGTTGTTTCTTGCCAAAAGGCCCCCTGGGAGTTGTAGTTAACATCTAAGCCAAAGTTTTTATCTACACTAGCTTGTACCTTCGTCTTTGTATCAAAGAAGCAGATATTTTTAAACAGAGTTCTTGATGTTTTGAACCAGGAGAGTTTCATGCTGATCTAAACTGTAGAAGTGCTATAACTGTCTATGGGAAAAATGAATGGAATAGCTCCTCCCACTTCACAGCTCTATAGATTGGACTTTCTTTTTTGAAAATAACCACAAAAGACAAAGAATAAGAACAAAAATCTCTGAACAATACACAGCAGAGTATTCAACCAAATCCTTAAAGCTTCATTAATTGATTTTTGGCCACCTGAAGGCTGTAAACACAGCATCTGGCATATTATTAGTTTAAAAGGTTGTTATAGCTAACATGTTAGCAAACAGTTATTTACATTATTATTTACACATCCAACACACACACACACACACACCCACACACAAACACATTTATTTGGAGCCGCTTGACAAGTGTGAGCGCAACGTTGACTTCCCTCTTAGCTCTCATTTGGTCTCCACCAACCCCGGAGAGCACAATCTGGCTCATTAGCTGATAAATGTTTCACTATGTTCACCAGCTGGTTGCTAACTTTTGCACAGTGGGTTTTTCACAGCTTTGTCAGAGCTGCTGCTGCTGCTGCTGGAAATGACACTAAAGACACTTAAACACTCTGCATAGTCAGAGCTGAGCCGCGGAGTCAGGTGGTAATGTTCTGTGGGCTCATCAAGCAACAACCATTACATCTGTCAACATAAAAAATGTGGGCTACTGCAGCTTTAAAAAACAAAGTCTGTTCCCAACTTCAAAGCAGCCTGGCTGTTCACTTCACTCCACTCTCTTCACAAGGGTGAAACGATCAAGAAAAGTCCATTTGTCTTAATTTAAGCTGAGCACCCTCCTTGTTAATGAGCTCATTAGCGTCGGTGTTTTTGTCACATCACTTCCACTGCGCTACTCTCAGAAAACCGGACAGAATGATTTATGAAAATCCCAAAATGGGGTCTGCTTCAGAGACGCTGGGGCCACACGTGTTTACAGCTGCTTGAGTCAAAGCATTTTCCCCAATCGTAATGTTTCGTCAAACATAATATGAACCCCTTCATCCTGCTTAATTTATAGCAATTTTCCGCTTTCAGGAGAACTTGTTACAAGTTACAAACTGCTTTACAACAAGGACTAAATGCAATGACTGAATTATGCTGCACAAGTAAAACTAAACTGACTACTTAACTATGAGATACAGCCAGTACCTCAGCTATTTACACCACGACCCATTTTCTGAAGTAGTGACTTATTTATGTGAACAGGGATCTGTACCTGCCTCTATGAAAAGTTCTGTGTCACCTCAGAGGACATGTTTTCTTTCCTGGCACATCAGACGTCAAGCCTGACTTTGAAAGCACCGTCTCAAGACTCCCTGACGAAGCAATGATGACTCCTCACTTCCGCATGAAAATGTTCATGTCCTCTTAACAGCCCCGTATCCCCCTGTCGCTCTTTTCCGACGCTGCTGATGCTGCTGCTTCAGGGGAGACCCAGGTTATCTGTCAGACTCTGGGCTCCTCTCAGGTGAAGACAGGCTCAAAGTCTCTTGCTACAAATCTGTCTTACTAAGAGAGTTTCTAAGAGTTTCTAAGTGAGCTGGAGTGATGCTGTCTGGAAACTCGTGTCAGATCTTAGAGTGGATGAATATTAGAGACTCCAAACGGTTGAAACACTTTTTGCATTTCTACTCGGGACTATTTGGAGTAGACCAAACTTTTTAACTTACATCAGTCTGCTAATTACCTGTACCATTTCAACGTGATTTTATATGTCGTATTATTCACAGTATTTATTCAAAAAGGAAAAATTCAGATGTTGCAACTGACCCAAACCCTGGGGACAGTTGCAATACACATCAGGAATGGTTGCAGCCTGTAAAAAAAAAAAAAAAAAAAAACATTAAATTTAGGTACATTTTTATATGTACATATATATATAGTGATTTATTTATACCTTAATATTTTAGTATCATTTATTCTGTTTTGATATGACTGCTGAGCTTGGGCATAGTTATAAAAACTTGTTGCAGCAACCTTTCCCCACCCCATCAGCCATGACAGAACATCATGTGCTAGACACACTGACCACGACACATTCTGCTGTGTTCTGCATCAACTGTGATTCAAACTATGAAAGTTGTGAAAAGTCAGGACAGTATGACAAAAAATACAACTCATGAAAAAAATACTTTCATACCTTCAAAACTATTTTTTTCACTAAATGCAGCAGTAGATGTTTCCAACTGAAGAATTGTTGCAACCGTCCCCAGTCTCCCTTACTCAAATTAGTAGT